TAGTGAGCCCATGAAATGTGGAAATAGTTTTAAGAAAGTGCAAAATCCACAAGCTTGTCAAAGACATACCCAGTTGCATCAAAGTGCCCCAATAGTTCCTGAATTTTTTCCCTTGGTAGGTATGGGGTTTCTTCATCATCAATAAAATTCATGCCAACAAAATTCCCACACGTATCAATAAGAGGCCCTCCAATACCAGCCTAGCAAACAAACACCAAATAAAGTGACACCAGATAAGAGATGCACAGAAAAAGGAATTATTTTAATACAAATACTCCCTACAATCCCGTTTATAAGGCGTGATTTGATTTGGCATGGTCTTCTAAGAACTTTGACCATAAATTACTCTTCTAATATATTGTTACTAGATATAAATCATAATCATAAGGATGTATTTTTAAGTATAAATCTAATAGTACCACTTTTGTATTACTAAACTCATATACTTTTAAAATAATTGTTCAAAAGTTTCAGTTTGAATTCTGAAATACATGGCACGCCTTATAAAAGGGAATGGAGGGAGGAGTTAAGCAGACTCACTAATGGTTGACTTGTACTCATTTCTCATAAAATAATTAGTTTGCACCCTCAGCGCAAAATACCTTGGTGATTTTACACGTGGAGGTCCCAAGCTCTTTGCAATCCAGTTTGCTTGGTCTGTCAACCAACACCCCCTTTGTAGCCATTAACTTGCAACCTTTGAAGCAAAACCCTACAGCCACTACATCAGTATTAGGGGGCAAAAGGAATATCTTTCTCAAGTTCTATGGCACGAGGACTGCGGAAACAGATGATGTCGACAACAGCAACATTATAACGTAAGTCATAATGTTTCAACGTTGCTAGACACGGCTTCTATTTTGAAGGCACACTTCAATCTGCAATGACAAAATTAGAGTAAACTAGTATTATAAATGGGCATAGAGCAAATAATGATCAAACATACCAGTACTAACCCGCAAGTTATCATAAATCTTGCTTTTTATCATCAGAACTTCTAACAAGACTTGCTGAAGTGAGAATTCTTGCAGGGTAACAGTCTATAAATACGCCTGTGCAAGCAAAATGCCTTGCACCTTCTGCACAGATCATAATTTGGTCATTAATTATCGATCTGATATATAAAAATATAAAACAGTAATGCGCAATTGAGTGTATCAGACTATAATCACCATTAAATGATGCGAGCGCGACACTACCGGACAGAGCATCTTTGCCGAGGGCCTGAGGATTTACCGAGGGAAAATGCTCGGACACTCGGCAAAGACTCTTTGCCGAAGGCCAGACCCTCGGCAAATACAAGCACACGGCAACAATAATTCTTTGCCGAGGGCTCGGCAAAGGTCCGGCCCTCGGCAACACCGCCTGACACGACGTCCATCCCCTGCCGTCAATATTTGCCGAGGGCATCACCGTTAGGCCCTCGGCAAAGACTTTTTAACCGTTTTTGAAATTTTTCTTTTTAAAAATTCTTTGCCGAGTGCCTCTGGCCCAGCACTCGGCAAAGACAGTCTTTACCGAGTACCAAGCTGGCACTCGGCAAATGTTCAATTTTTTTTGACCCCAAATTTTTTGTTGGGCCCGCCTACATTGTTTACAACTTCATGTTCAAATTTGGTGCTTTTTCTAGTTTTTTTGTTATATTTGGTTGATTAATTTGATTATATTGAATTTTTATATATAATTCAAATTTGAGCTGCAAGTGCATGGAATATTGTAATCTAGTGCTTCGAAAAATGTTATTCATGGTATTTGGTGTATGTTGAGTCTCTATCCACGAACTCGCATCAAATTTCGCGCATCTTCTTCACGTAACATGACGAGCCACTTGCCGAAAAAGTGTTTTAAAATTATATAGAGTCCATACGAAGTCCGAAAATCACGAAACTTGTCGAGGTGTCATGTTATCGCATGTGTAGGCTGTGGTAAAAAATTGAGAATGTTTCGAGCAAGTTGCGACGTCAGATGCATAAAACCCAGACCTCTCCACATGTGATCACCATCAAGGTAGCCGCAGCCTCCCCGCCTACAAACAAGCATATGTAAGTGATTTCTTTTATCTTATTTGACGCTGAGTTCTGCCTTATTTCTCACCATCTTGCCGTCTTACTCGCAGGAGGCTGCACACCCGGGCGTGGAGGTCTCGGAGTTCTCTGCGTGGGCTATATCCCACATGGGCGTAGGCGTATTCTCTGTCTCTTCCTTGCTCCCGTCTTGCTGCATGAGGTGTACTCCGACCCGACCATGCACACTAAGGTCCAAGAGTACACCTCAAAGGTGAGGGAGGTCCATGGGGAAGATTACGATGTGCGCACTGAGCTCATTGATGCAGAGACCATCATGAGGCTAGGAGGAGGCAAGAAGCATGGGCGGTGTGGGATTGCAGACGGCGCCATCGACTCCACCACTGTTCCCTCCCTCTCTCTCGGCGTGCTCGAGCACGAGCACGAGCTCCAGCCAGCCCATACGCCCACGGCCTACTCCACACTGCAGCTGGGTCGACGCTCTCGAGGTACGTCCTGTTTTACTCGTCGTACGTTCATCTTTGCACACCTAAGTTACATTTACATTACTGAAACATTGAAGTTTGTATTGTAGGCCGAGCTGCAGGCCCAGAAGCTTATGGTCGAGGCTCGGAGCGCCAGCAAATGCAGAGCCCCCAGAGGGAAGCGTTCATGCCCGGGAGAGGAGGATGCAAGAAATGGAGGCCTTCATGCGGAGTGTCCGACAAGGGGGGTGTACCTTTGCCGTTGGCGGCTCCTCCACCGCCTACTTCTCTGACCACTCCTCGTAAGTATGAAATTTCACTCTTACTAGATGCTTCCTTGACATACAACCATGGTTGACATACAAACTTACTAGATGCTTGACACAGAAACTTACTAGATGCTTGACATAGAAACTTACTACATGCTTGCACTAGCTATGACATACAACCATGCTTGACATTCTCAATTTACTAGATGCTTGACATAGAAACTTACTAATGCTTGCACTAGCTATGACATACACCAATGCTTCATATAGAAACTTACTAGATGAATCTCACACATGCAACCTCTTATCCTTTTTGCAGTCTCCGTCGGCGGGTTCGAATAACCCCGCTCATGCGTCACCGAATGATGGAGCCTTTGCTTCACCATCGTGTCATAGGCCGCCTTTTTGAGGAGTTGTGCTTCGTCATGTGCTTGGACTTGAGCTTCACTTGTGGTTGTGACTTGTGCTTGGACTTGATGGACTGTGGTTGTGAATTTGTGACTTGTGGTTGTGATATTTGACTTGTGGTTGCGATATGTTGTTATTTGAGTTGTGGTTGTGATATAACGTGTGAAAATGGTTTCGTTGTGATATATATATGTGATTATTGTGATGTTTGTGATATATATGTGACATGTGATATATATTTGAACTGTTTGTGTCAGTGGAATACAAAAAACAAAAAAAAATTGCAATTTCGGTTGATTTGCCGAGTGCAATGGTCATGGCACTCAGCAAAGCTGGTAAACTTTGCCGAGTGGCAGGACATTGCACTCGGCAAAGATTTTTTTTTTAAAAGCAAAAAATCTTTGTCGAGTGCCAAGCTAGGGAGGCACTCGGCAAAGAGCTTTTTTAAAAAAATAAAAAATATCTTTGCCGAGTGCCTTGCCGCCGTGGCACTCGACAAAGAGTTTTTGAAAAAAAAAATGTCTTTGCCGAGTGTCTTGCCGCCGCGGCACTCGGCAAAGAGTTTTGAAAAAAAAAATGTCTTTGTCGAGTGCCCTAACTGCTCAAGACTCGGCAAAGGCGCCATTCAACGGAGCAAATACCGATTGATTTGTCTTTTCTTTGCCGAGTGCCGCCGTTGGCACTCGGAAAAGGATTTGCCGAGTGTCCGACAAATGGCCCTCGGCAAAGAGCCTCTTTGCCGTTAAATTTTTTTCCGAGGGCTCTTTGCCGAGGGCGGTACTCGGCAAAGCCTTTGCCGATGGCTTTTGGGCCTTTGCCGAGTGCCCTGGGCCCTCGGCAAAGAGGGTGCCTCCACTAGTGCGACAACGCATTCAGACAAAGTTGAACCAAGTTCTTTATTGAGTGTACTCCAGATATCACCCTCAAATTTATCTTCAAACGAATTGTACACACACATAGCAAAAAAATCACCTGTTTAAAGAAACATGATATAAAGGTGCTTGAATATAGCTGCCAAACCGTTCACATAAGGGGTACGCAGGAAAACTAGGAGCAATTACACACCACGTTCACATAAGTCAGAATGTTTAGTGAGCTCGCTTTTTCCCTGGTGATGGAGATGGCAATGTAAGGAAGGATGGTGCAAGTCAGAAGAGGACAATGCCAAATAGTGTAGCACAGGAAGAAACAACCCTTAATCCAGCTGAAAAGTATTGTTCGCTGATTTTTTATGTGAGAAAAATACTGTACCATGGCTTATAAGTCATGCTGATAAGTTCAAGCGAACAGGACGAGATCTTAAAGACGAGTATCATAGATAACAAAGAAAGAAAGAGAAACAATATATTATTTAAAAGGTGCAGAAAAATTCTAAGCCGTTCCTTCCCCTCTCGAACTCTCTCGTCTTGCTACAATCTAGAGAGGCGAAAGCGAGCGTTCCAGCCTCCGTTGGGGGAGCCGGCAGTCTTCCTCACCTCCGATGGCCTTCGGGCTTTTGCAAGGTGGTGGAGACCGCTGGCCTCCTGCCAGTCGGAGGTGTAGGTCCTAGTAGATCTAGGTTTAGGTTTTCGGCGACGACGACGGCGGCGGCAAGGAATAAGGTCCTCTCGCTCTCTTCCCCGTCTTGGTGGTGCTCTGCTCCGGTGCCGTCAACGAGGGCGTGGACGAGGGATTCCCTTTGTGGATCCCCTGTACAGGAGTCCGGTGCTAGCGGCTCGTCGGGAGGTGAGTTTGCTGGCCTTGTGTTCGGAGGATGGAGAGGCAACTTCGGTTTGTGTGGAAGGCAAGAGAGTGGAGCTGTAGGCTCGGTTGTTCCATGGCGGCGTCAGTCGGCAATGGCGAGTCTGCATCCAGGGTCACCGGGGCTTGGGGCGCGTCCCCGGCCGATGGATCCTCAGCGTTTGTTTCATCTCGTCCAAGATGGCGGGTGTCTACTGCAGCTCTTCTCAAAGCCTGCTGGCGATGAGCTCTGGTCGACCTGTGGTTGGCGGCATTTGGCTTCCGGCGATGGCCGGCGGCGATGGAATCCCGAGGATTTGGGCTGCAAGGGTTCCAAGGACTGACTTGTAATTTCTTTGTTTTTTTAGGGACCTTTGTGCTTTTAGCTCGGAACAACTATCTTCTGTATCCTTTCTCAACATATCTGTATTTGAACAAGTCCCTATATGGTATCCTTAACTATCAATACAGGAATGTTGGATAAAAAAAAAGGTGTAGAAAAACAGTACCAAGGATGTCGACTTTAAAACTATGGAACACAGCGTGCGAATGGGGCCTCTAGAAGCGACGTGACGCAGTCAGGAATAACTAGCTGCTAGTTTTTTTTCGTACGGAGTATGGCAGACTACCTTGCACTGCATGTCATAGCGTCGTGTTCAGCTCAGGTGATCTTGTGCATCACTTTTCCAGAGATGGCCACCCATCTTAGGACCGGGCGATGAGCAACCCCACCGTCTTTTTTTTTTGGCTTTTTTTTTTTGAAAGTTTTTCTCAAATCTGTCCCTAGAGATTTGCTTTTAAAATCTAGACCCTCAGCTTGACGCCATTGGAATTGGCGCCAAGGTAACACGTCACGGCGCCAGCACAATTGGCGCCAATGTCCTTGCGCCGAGGCAGACGTGGCGCTGACGTGGCTGTGAGCTTGGCGCCATTACTATTGGGGCCAAGATCTTTGGCGTCATGCTTGGCGCCAAGATCTTTGGCACCAAGCTCCTGTTTTAAACCACAAACCACTCTTCCTGCCCGAGTCTTCTTCATTTTCTTCCTCTTGCCTCTCGGGTTTTTTCTCTCACCACTTCGGCGTACCTCCCGAATCGGCATATTGGACCGTGGAAACTTGGATTTGATCCGTAGATCTTTGAGAGCAAGGTATCCTCTCACCCCTTCTAGTTTTTTTCGCGTCGATTCGGTATATATTAGACGTATTTTTGAACCTAAGAATCGTCATTACTTAGGCTTTCATGCACTTTTTAATTTTTATACGTAATATACAACCGTAAGATGTCAAGGCGTGAAAAAGCTAACAAACCAAGGTATGCGTTCATTGTTGTGCATCACATGGTAAACCCTAGGTTTAAGGTTAATTGTTATTTGCTTTCGATTAGTAGAACGAAATTGGTTGAATTGTAGTTATGACCGGATGACCGGAAGTCCCTACGACCCAAAGCCTCTCCCTAGCGGTGTTCCAAGACCCATGTGCTTTTGTGGTGATCCTTGCAAGGTACACATTTCTAAAGATGAGGAAACCTATAGGCAGAGGTATTGGATGTGTTCTAATTTTGCATGGGAGCCTACAGAGCATCAGCGCCGCAATGGATTTATTGTGAGAAAAAGCTTATTGTGTACTAATTATTTTGTGTCATACGAAGTCTTGCATGATTTATTTGTTTCATAACAATTGCCTTTCTTGCAGACTCCTCCACCGCTCTATGATTTTGAGCAGTGAATCGACACTGAGTTCAAGAAGTCGGACAAGCGGCTTCTACAAGGACTGAAGGAGTGGGATGTGGAGCGTCTGGAGATATTGGAGAAGAGACGTAGAGAGGAGGCAGCAGAAAAGGAGCACAAGAAAGAGGAGGAAAGGAGGCGTGTTGCTGCATACAGGGAGGAGAGGGAGAAGAAGCTTGAGCGTGTGCGCCGAGCGAAGGCATCGATGGAGGAGAATACCGATGCCCAGAGGAAGGGAAAGTGGCCTCGTTGCACTCAGTAGTCTGCATGACTTGCTAGTTCTATGGTTTATTCAAGAACAATGTTATCTATTCTTGGATTTTGCATTGTGTTGTCATGTAATGTACTTTAAGTATGGGCATACCTAGGGCATGTTCTGCGTTATTTAGTTTGTCGGCATGTACTTCTAATGTTATTGTGTTGTTTAATGTGCAGTATTAGTGGACCTTTCATAGTGATGTTGGTTTCATTATTTGTGGTCATAATATTAAGTTTAATATTGTGGAGGTAGGGAAATGAGTTCACGTAGTGCAAATAAAACATAACAAATTAGTGGATTATATAATTCAACACGTACAACACATGAAATGGCATGTGAAAACATGTACCTAACTCGGGTACATATGTCCTGGACTAAACTTAACATGCCTTAGGTAATTGAAGCGAACAACAAGCACATGATATGGCATGTGAGAAACATGTACCAAATAAGGGTATATAGTTCCTTCGACTAAACCAAACATGTCTTAGATAGTTAAACCAAACAACAAACCTAACATAGATGTGGCATGTGAATAAGATAGATTTGTCCTATCTAGTAGTGTGGCCATATAGCAAATTGTGTTGCACGTTCTCCATAGTACCCTCCCATTGGTGGTGGGGGGGCGGTGGAGTCCCCTTGTTCTTGTGATTAGGGCAGGTGCAATATGGATCATTGCAGAGTGCCTCCTGTGAACCGGCACCCTTGTTGTTGTCGTCGTCCTTGTAACCGCTGCTAACTTCTCTTTCTAGATCGAAGATATAGTCCTATAGGTAGTATATGTACTGCTGATGCGGATAAATTGGTCTAGGATCGATCCACTTAGTGAACCCACAGTTTTCTTTGGACTCTGAAGACTGCAGTAAGTATGTCCTGTAAGACGTAGACCAATCGAGAAACATATTTGACTAACGAATTTTAAAAGCAATTACTCATGCTCGTGGGCATTTGAAGAAACGACGATCTCCATCTAAACCCTCGGTGAACATCTGCACTAAGCAGTCCTCACCATGCCTACATTTTAACCAATCTTCTTTCCGGTTATCGTATCCTCCGCGATGGCACTATTTGGTGAAATCACTCTTGTTCTCGACCGGAAAATGATACATTGGTTCATCAAAGTCATCCGGACCCAGAGACCCCTCCCACACTGTGACACCCCAGGTGTCAATTTCAAGTTAAGCAGTGAATTAAGTCTAATCTAAACAAGTCAAAGGATGATTGTGAGCTTTAGTTTAACACCTGACAAGTAGTGATAGAGGTGGAGTCAAACTCTTTCATTTGAGACCTAACTCAAAATTCTTTTGAATGGCAGAAACAAACTTCTTTTGGTTGACTTGTAATCTTTTCAAAATGTGCATGAATATTGTTAATCATGTCCCTTGTATTTGAGTTAACGAAACCTTGATCATGTTAATCATCAAGCTTGTGTCATGTTATGCAGTTCATGTTTCAATTATAGTATATATATGTGTTGCATATGTTTTGTTTTGGGAGGCCATGAAATGTTAGCGATAATGTTGACTAAGGATCTTTGTGATTTTATGGAATGAAAATTTCTTAAACAAATAAAATTTTGTTAAAATAAACTTTGGAGTACAAAGTATGTTCTTTAATATAGAATCAAAGTTTTTTTGTGTTTCCAAGTCAAACATGTTTAAATTTGACCTCAAAGTTTGTATTCAATACTGATTTTCAAACTTAGCCATTTTGACCAAGTCCCTGAATATCAGTTATTAAGTTCGATTTTGGGAGAATTATTAAATGAATTTTTATAAAAGAAATTTGTGCAACTCTTGTTTCATGAATTGGTATAATGTTTGAGCTTGGATAATGTGTAACTGGTTGTAATGTTTGATTAATGGACATCCACTCATTAATTCCCAAAGTTTGCTAATCAAAACTGCTTTTGAAAGCCCTAACTGAATCTCAATTTTCAGTTTCAACTTTCTAACTTCAAAATTCAAAATCTTCAAGGCCGTCAAGATTTTGGTGTCGATCCTTAAAGCGAAGTTGAAGATCTCGTTGGATATAACAACTTTTATTTTTGGAGTTCATCAAGTTTCTACTCAATTTTGGGAGAAAAAGGGAGGAGAAGGAGCTTTGTCAGTCTGCTACAGAACCAGTGCCGTCTCTGTTTTCCTCTCTCTGTTCACCGGCGGACACCGAGGCCGTACTCGGCACTTCGCGCGCGTGCGAGAGCGTGTTGCTGGCCGCGTGGCCGAGCCCGCGAAGGCGGTAGTCACCTCTCCATCCACTCCCTCGTCGTTTAAACGCCCTGCCGGCTGCCGTTTTCGACTTTCCTTCTCTCTGCTCCGCTGCCGTGCAGCTCCGCTCGCCTGCCAAATTCACCGCCATCTCCTCGTTTCCATCCAATTCCTCGCCTCCACAGCGGTACCACATTCTTGCGCACCTCCCTGGCCCGCTCGCGCCGGCTCTCTTCTCTGGAGTAGGCCGTGCGCCGCCAAGCCGCCGTGGCCGCAGCCGAGCGGCTGGCTGCTGCTGCTGCCTGTGCGCGTGGCCAGGCCAGCCCGCGTCACCTCCGGCCAGACCAAGCCACCTGGAAGCGCGGCTTGCTGCTGCTGCTAGGCCACCGTGCCTCTCCTCCGCCGCCGCGGCCACCCACTGGCCAGAACCGCAAGCTCCCGGCTAGCTCCTCTGTTCTCTTCCGTGAAGGAGAAGAAGAAAGGGAAGAAATGGAAATATACACTTTTTCTGGGTCCAGTTGTGAATCCTATGACTCATGTGAATAGTGTTGTTTGGTTGTGGGTTGATTTGTGAAAAACTCAAGGGCCTTAGCGTAAAGCATCTGTTTTATATGGTTTTCTCTTTTTCTTTTTCCATAAGATACGTCTACGTGACATTCAGTTGTTTTGGTTCCTCCAGTCAACTGAATTTTTTCCTTACACTTACAGAGTCTTTTAGTTATATTTACACTGTCTTAATACTATATTTACAATGATTTTTTCAGTGTAATTTATTAGACAGAGTGATGTAAGTTGGGAATAACACAAATATATACCAATTTTTTTAAAAAAAATTACAAATTATTTTTATGAATTTCAGACATCACATAAATATATGTCAAATTATCACAAATTCTTCACAAATTTAAAAAAAATACAAAATCTTCACAAAATTTCAAAATGTCGTGCCACGCTGCCGTCACCGACGCCGAGGAAGGCCTAGCGTCCGGCCTCGGTTGGTACTCCGAGACATGGTACTGCCACATGTGTTGTTGCTGCTGCTGCTGCTTCATCATCGACGACGAAGTCGCGGCAGGGAGGTCGACGCGCGGGCCATACCCTGGGCTGCACACATACCGTGGCATCTGCAAGCAGCAAGTCCACCCAGAGA